TCATTCATTCATTCATTCATTCATTCATTCATTCATTCATTCATTCAATTCTTCTATTCTTTCTATCATCTATCTATCTATCTATCTATCTATCTATCTATCTATCTATCTATCTATCTATCTATCTCCCAGTAGCTCAGAGCTGTCAGCATATTAAACCCACCCATTAGCGTGTGTTCAGAGGACAGTGATATTGAAAGGGTAAGTGAGGGCAGATGGAAGATATTACTGTACCGTTAGCCCTTCTTCATTCCTTACTTTGGTAATATTTTCTCCTTTTACCTAGCCACCTTTGCTAGAAGTTAATTAATTTCATTGAACTTTCTGAAGAATCTCCTTTTTGGCTTCATTGAAGTGTTTCATATTCTTTTAAAATTTGACTGCTTAATTTTATGCTTCATTGTGAAGTTTTGGCTAGCCAGAACTCACTGTGTAGACCAGACTGCCCTCAAACTCAGAGACCCACTTGTTTGTGCCTCAGAATGCTGGGATTAGGCATGGCTAAGAATGATTTTTTTTTTGTCTTTATTATGTGTAGTGAGAATTTTGGTTTCTTTGAAAACACAGAAATATTATAAGACTATGTTTTGATTTTAATCCCAGGTGTGGAGATGTGCTTCAGATTGGCCACGCCAGCTGACTATGATTTGCCTTGTGCCCTCGCAGGGCTGTGATTTGGCCAGGTGTGGATAGTTTTTGTGATTGTGTGGTGGTTGGAATTCTGGGGACTTTTCAGGGCTGTATATAAATGCTAGGGCCCCAAGAGGTAGGTTTGTTTTTGGTTGGTTGGTTTTTGGTTGTGATTCCTTAAGTAGTTTTGTTCAAAGAAGAAACAAAAAACAAGGAGAAATTAGATACCTGACTGTGTGGATCAAACTTGCCCCAAGGAACTAGATGCCCTCATCAGCAGGAAGTAGTTAACTTCACCCCTTTTCCTGGTTTATCCTTTTTTTCTCTCCTACCTAGTGTTGGGGGGCTGAAAGGGTGGAAGAAAAGGGGTGGAAGAAAGAAGAACCCACAAAGCAGCCAAAGTCTGGCTACAATTTTGCCTTTTCCTTTATGCCTCTTTGGGGTTTACTTCCTCTGTCCCTCAAAAGAAAGGTGAGTGCTCCAGGCCAGCACCCTCAAACTGCAGACCAGCAGGCTATTCCTGAACAACCCATGAATGAGGGATGACTTGCTTTTTTATTTTTTTCTAGTCGTTGATATTTGATAGCTCATAGAAACGAGAGGGAATGCAGATTTCAGTGAGTACACGTAAGTTGTGCTGGGACGCAGCCACGCCGAGCTGTCTGTGTCTCACCCACAGTTGCCTTTCTCTGAATGGCAGAGTCGAGTGTGCATGTCAGAGATGGAGCGGCATTTGACAGGCTTTATGCAAGTGCTGACTTCACTGTCATCCCAGTCTCTGTGCTGTAAGTGACACCTAAATTATTATTTCTGTCAGTGAATACGCCTGTCAAAACAAGAAAAGGTGGGGAAATGCATTTGGAATTTTAGCTTGAGAGCAGAGCACATGGCTGCACACTTGGGTGTCACCAGAGTTCGCACCCAAGGTCACCTACCCAGATCACACAAGAAAGCAAAGACCGGGCAAATCAGCAAACTTTAGCAGGGATGTTGCATCCTCCAGGAGGATTCCTTCACAGAACTAAAAGGTGGCAATGCAGGTCCGTTTCCAAATGGCTCATCTGTTAGCCAAGCAAGGGGATCACAGACTGGTGGGGAGTTGGATTGCTGCAGGTGCAGATTTGCGTCTGGAGAAAATAAACTTGCTTAAAATGATTAGCCTTTTTGTACAGCTGGTTGCTCACAGCATCGAGTTCGCCATCAATCAATTGAAAAACAAAGCAAAGGATTCTGAGCAGTTTTCCCTGGTTCTGGATGCGATGGCAGATGCTAGCAATACTGCTCAGTTGTTTATTTGAGGAGCCAACACCGAGCTTGGAGTTACTGAATAAATAGTGAATTTGAACAGATAGTCATGTATTGGGGCAGCAAGGACACACACAGGCTTTTGAAAGTGTTAAAATACCAGTTCCACACAACTTGAATCTGAGGAGGTGTGTTACGATGATGGTCGCAAACACTATCTGTGTGGAATGGGCATCAGCTCAGGTAGACAGGGTCACAATGCTGTGAAAATATCACTTAGATAAAGCTTCAGTTACCTGTTGTTAATTCTTTGGTATTAAAGATACTATGTATATCTGTTCCATGGTCAGAGTCCATGCAGGGTTAGCATTTGCCCTCATGGAATTAGCTGTTGCCAGTACTATGGCTTTGTGTCAAGAGTAAAAATGATGCTGTCCCTTGCCTTAGCCATACAGCTGCCTGTTGGCATAGTAATAGCCAAATTTTGAGTATAGGGTATGGGTGGGAGGTCTCCAGAATGAGAGGAACTGCCCTCAGACAGTCTTACTGAACAGCAAGTGGCTTATTTCTTAATGGCTTCACCTTACACATTCCAACGCAGAACTGGGGCTTCTATGTAGTAAAGTTAGTGCGATGTCGGTGTTTACGCGCACTCTCAGTGCCTTCCATGTAGTCAGAAAGGAAAACGTGATGTCTCCATTCCTACTCAGAGAGGGCGTCAGGATTCTTCTGAGCTTACATGGGTTTCAGCGTTGTTTTCTAGACTCTGATGCAAATTCCCATGTTAGATATCCATTTAACTAGGTTATTGAGGTTCTGTTCAGCCTACTCTTGAATCGATCTTGAATAACCAGAGTGCATTGCTCAGATGCTCTCAGAACAGCAACTATGCTGACTAGAAGGTACGTGGCTGAGGTTCCTAACAGTACGTGGGAGGACTGAACTGGCTCATACTGAGTCATTAAGAAAAGACTTCACAGATGAAGGACATACAGTGTTATTAAACACCAGCTCTAATGACATGGTGCATGATTGATGGCTGCGACCACTAATGCAATTCTAAGCTTTGAAGAGAAAAGATTCTTTTCATTAGGAGGCTTGCTTTACTGAGTTACTGCTATCTATATGTTTGAATTTTATCACTATGAAATATAGAAAATCTTGTTTTTGTTGTTCTTTTTCTTCTTCCTCTTCTTCTTCCTCCTCTCCTCCTTCTCCTTCATTTTCTGAGACAGGGTTTCTCTGTGTAGCCTTGGCTGTCCTAGAACTAGTTCTGTAGACCAAGCTGGCCTCCAACTCACAGAAATACTCCTGTCTCTGCCTCCTGAGTGCTGGGATCAAAGGTGTGCACCACCATGCAGGGCAGTTTATCATCTTATATAAGTGTTTACACACTATCCTCTATTTTGCTTGTGAGTCCTTAGAACTTAAATAGTTTGAACCTTTACCAAAAGGATGCCAACACATCTGTTATGTCAAAACATTTTCCCCTACATAATGGTATACCTGTACATTTTAGCAAACAGCAACCTTAGAAGAATGTAATTCATGGAGAACTTTGTTTCTACAGATTTATTTGTTGAAGTTTAGCTAGTTATAAAACAAGAGTTAGGATTGTCACAACAAATATATGAGATCCACAGCCTAGAGGAAGAAGAGTTTGTTTTGACTCTTGTAGTCTTAGGTTCAGGCGATGCTAGGCTGGTTCCATGCTTTTGATCCTTTGTGAGGGAGGCAGTGCATCAGGGCAGAAGAACGTGATGAGCAGGGCTGTGGTACCCAGGAAGCAAAACCTATGAGATGCTGCCACCCATATCCTGGGTGGACCTTGTTCCCAAGGGGGATTTTCTCTGGAGTCATCCTCCCAGGTATACCCAGAGATGTAGTTTATTGCTCTTCCATGTGCTTCTTTTTAATTTTTTTAAATGTATGTGCATGGTGTGAATTCGCGTGTATGTATGTTTGCAGGTGCACACGTGGGGTGGTGCACTAGGGTGTGTGTGAACAAATCATGTGAGGTCAGTCAGAAAGTGGCCGCAGGGCCCTTCTTTGCTCTCCATCTCATGTATTGAGACAGGGTCTCTCCTGTGAGCCTAGAGCTTGCACTGTCCACTTTGGGAGAGTCAGGTTATCTCAACTGAAATAATTCTCTAGGAAGGTCAGGAGAAGTACTGACAGTTAATGGCCTTCGGTTCCTGGGTAGCTTGTACCCTTGCTGGGTTCCTGTTCTCTGTATTTCAAGACTTTCTATGGTCTTGGGAGGAAAGTGTCTTTGATGAGAAGCTTTGAGGGCTCTAGGAGACCTTAGGGAAGTCTAGAGAAAACAGAATTGCTGAGCAGAAGGCCTGGCTTAGAAGCCAGAGGCCCGGAGGACATTCCTCGCATCAAATGGATAGATCAGATGGGGTGTTATCACATAGGTAGAGAGGTGGTTCAGCATTGGAAGGAGAGAGCCAAACCATGAAAATTACTTGACCCCCTCTCCCCTGTACAAAGTAAGTACATGGTGGGAGAAGGACACGGTGAGATGCAGAAATCTCTCACAGCTTAATTCATGCGCGTCAGCTAGACTTGCTCTACGACACAGCTAAGGCACTGAAATGATGATGGGCATCCAAAGGCTTTCCCTCCAAAGTGAAACCTGACTTTTTCCTCCTGGGGTCCAAGAGTTTCAGTGAAGACTGCAGATGTGAAAATACTTAGTGGTGTTCACATCATTTTTCTGTGTTACAAAGAAGCAGCTGGGCAGAAGGAACCG